TGGCCTCACCCACAGACACTGGCTTCCGTCATAAGAAATCAACCCCATCGCCTCGCAACACGAGGTCTGTGTCAGTTACCTGCCCCTCGACCAAATTCAAAACCGGTTTCAAGGTTCCACATCGCGAGATTTCTCCTCTGCCCTCTGCCTTCTGCTGCCCCCTCTCCTTTCACCACATGCCCATCCTGCCTTCCCCTCATCCCAACAGACACCAGGAAAGCTCCTCCACGCGGGTTTGACTAAGGTACCAAATAGGCTCGGGTGCAAAACGACAACTGGAAGAATCCTACTCCGTGACCAGAGCGTTGGTCAATGTCATCAGTTTGTTCAATGCTGACATCGCCCCTCGTAACACTACCCGTCACTCCTATGAGCAGTGTCCTCTCCCTGCCCCGGCCTTGATCTCTGCTTAGGTCCCTCTAGACTCTTCCTGGAGCCCCTACACGCCCTGCCTTCCTGGCGGGACCACTTCTCTGTGAGCTGATAGGACCTGCTGAACGGTAAGGGTTGGGTGACTCTCCAAGGACCAGAGAGGTGCGTGCTTGACGCCCAATGCCAGATGCAAAGGGTCCAGATCCCAGACTGAGCGAGCAGGCGGGGGCTGACCACCCTTCTGCGTCTGAGCTGAGCCTCGTTCACGCTTGTGGTGTTTTCTCTGGTCATTTTCCTCGCACTTTCTCCTTAGTCTCCATGAGAAAATTTTAGATGACATAATGGTTCTCTGTTTATATTAAAACTCAACTGTCCACTTTGATAAGTGTCTGTGCCGTAGCACACTTCCTTGTTTCACTCTGTGTTGACAAACATCACTTCATTGAATGTACTTACCAAGCATTTCTTCTAGCTTCGCTGCGGCAGGTTCGTTCACATTAAATACACAGTCGTTATTTCTAAGAGAAAAAGGAACAGCTTTCTTACTGCATAGACTGGGGGGAACTGCAACCTTCACTAGTCACATAGTAGGACTATCTTCTCTATTTACATAGTAGGACTATCTCTTTGTTAAAATATATTTTTTATTGTGGCTAGTGTTACAGGTACCTCCCATTTCCTCCCTTTCCCCCCTGCAACCAGCCCCCAGGTCTTCACCACCCTACGCCCGTGTCCATGGCTGTGCATGTAAGTATATAAGGTCTTTGGTTTATCTCCTCTCATCCAGCAAGGCTGCCTTTAAACAGTTTCCTGAAGGTCAATGTTAAGCAGCTGGAAGGCTCCCTGCTCCTTCCTGTCCTCCTCCCTGGCTTCTGCTTCCTCCTCCGGCCACTTGAAAGACATGCTGGGAGAGCTGACCCCTAAGCATTACCATTCTTACATCCATTCACTCAGAGAGTCCGTATCTACCTCCCTACACACTCGTGTGTGCTGATGTACTGTACATGTATGTGCATGTAAATGTACACACCACACGACACTCCTCCAATCTTTCCTGTAAGTTATGCGTTTCAGTGGTGGGCCAACGCCAAACGCCGGCCGGCAGCACCTTCTCCTTTGCTGCACACCCTTCCATCTGCCCCGTGGTGTGCCCCAGGGTCACCCGTCCTGACGTGCTAATGGGGAGGGGATGAGGGAGCACCGCGTGTGCGACTCGACTGGACATTCCTGCGTGGCTCTGGACTCTGCTCATCAGTTACCCGTCAGCACCCGCGGGAGCCCAGACTTACACCTTCTTCCTCTCCACCACGCCCAGCCGCACCAGGGCTGCCAAGGCATTTTTCTGTACGTCGGAGGACAGCACGTCGTAACACTGCGAGGCGCCTGCAACAGAGGGGAGGCGTGAGGGGCCGCTCTGTTCCCAGCGGGAGCGGCCAGCAGCCACAGGCGGGACTGACCTTCATCGAGAAGCTGGCTGGTGAACGTCCTGACCCTCGCCAGGTACTCCTTCTCCGTGAAGTGGTCCTTCTCCTCCTCCAGGAGGTGTTTGCAGATGATCTGAGTGGAAGAGGACGAGGGGCTCAGGAAGAGGCAAAGGGCAGTCAACACGCAGCGCAGCGGACAGTCCCACGCCTCCTTCGGAGCCCGAGGTGGCACCCCGAGCCGGGCCGCCGCACGGAGAGGCCTGCGCACAGGCAGGCTGCGGGTGCTTTTTCTCCTTTTTTGTTTAGTTTTTTCTTTTTAGGCTACGGGATTCTCAGGAGCGCTACTGAGCTGCTATCACTGATCACAGTTAGGAAACAGGTTGCAGTAGTGTGCACACTGATTAAAATAGACTTTTTCACTTTCAAGGTTGAAATTAAGTGAGTTACTAGCAGCTTCATTTACCTTGTGCTGCTTAGGAAAAGAGGGGCCAGGCTTTTTGTAATTTTTTTTTTCTCTAAAAAGACCTAAAACCTGCTAGACCCTAAGATACTTGATGATTTCTACCAGGAAAGGTAGAGACGGTATTTATCCAGTAGCTAAGGGCAGGGCTTTGTGCACGGAGGCCTGCGAGGGCCACCTTCCTGACCACAGCAGCCTCGCCGGGAAGGCGGCCCGTGCCCCTCAGCAGTGCCGAGCCCAGAGCCACAGACAGGCAGGGGCCCTCTGACGTTTCCATCCCCAACAACCTGCCTCCCCTGCATGCGGCGCTCTCCCTGCTGACGTGCACAGCAGCCCCTCCTGACTCACTCCTGAGAGCTCCAACTTTCAGCTACTTGCACTTGAACTTCTCCTTTCCCTTCCAACGGACTGTATCAGGCAGACCTTGCGTTTACTAAGTGCCGACTGTGTGTCAAACACCGTGCTACAGGCTCTGAACCAACACTGGGGCAAGTACGGCAATGCCTGGGCGAAGCCGTGGTCACAGGAAGACTGTGCCACTCAGCTGTCCTCCCGGGTCTGATGGGACCGAGCCGCTGCCTGTTCGCAGGGAGCAGGGTCTCACCTGGCGGGTGAAGCCCCTCATCTCAGGATCAGTCTCCCTGGTCTACCTGGCAGCTGGGGAAGACACTTGCCCTTGAGGCCAGAAATAAGTAGCGGGTGGGGAACCTTAGACGCGAGCTTCTAAAGGCTTACATACCTGGTAGCACTCCACAAAGGGCCTGAAGAGGCCTATTAAGAACTCGAACACGGGCTTTCCCTCCTCTGTCACTAGGATGTCCTTCGTCGTCACCTGAATGGTCTCGCTTTTACAAAGCAGGTAGCAGCCTTCTTCAAAGTCCTGGGAGGGGGCGGAGAAGACAGAAGGACCTGCTGAGCGAGGACGCGGCGCCGTGTGCGTGCAGCCAGGGGTGCAGAGCACGAGACGCCAGCTCAGCCCTTCCCAGAGGCTCTGGTTGTTACACGGTGGCCACGGAAGCATTGGTTCCAAGACTCAGTGCTGACTTCGCCCTCAGCCCGAGGAGGCACCACCTGGGTGATGGCTTTCCCTTCCCTTTGCAGACACGCTCCTCAGAGAGGAGGGCACAGCAAGTCCTAGAACCTGAGTCCTATGCGCCAAAGGCCCCGCCCCCTCCTGAGCAGTGCCCAGAAAGCCCACCCCTCTATCCCGGGCTCCCCGCCCCGCACCCAGCTCCAGCCTGGTCCCTCACCAGCTGCTGCCCTGCCAGGCAGGACCACACTCTCTGCTCGTAAAGCAAAAGGCCCCCTCATGCCAACAGCTGTTACCAGGAACATGCGTGCTGGTTGGTAAACTTTTAGCAAGCTCGAGTTGATTGATTTGCTGTAGCTGCACTAAACGTTCAAAGAATGACCCTCTTCTTACCAAATAATCCCTAAGTTATTGATAAATTTAACCCAGAATCAAACTGGAGTTGGCTGACCTGTGAGCGTCCCCGTCCCCCTTTAAGCCGAAGGGAGGGAAGACCCATCTGTGACGGTGCCCGGCCTCCCAGGACTCGCACTGCACACGCGCTCGCTCCTTGGCGGCAAAGATGTACCTTCACTGCGTTTCCCGGAAGGAAGATGAACTCGTCCGACAGGACATCACGCAGGAAGCGGAAGCGGCAGTAGACGTCCTCTGGAAAGGGATTCGTTGCAGAAAGTCACCCCCCGGGAGTGGCGAGGAGTCCAGGACACTCCGAACGCAGCTTCAGAGGCACGTTCCCGCCTCTCGGGGATGAGCGGTGAGGCCCCAACGAAAGCGCCCACCAACCCCACTGTGCCCGAGCGCCAGCTGCCGTCCCGCCCTTTCATGGTGACTAAACGGCACCAAGCCTCTCATCCAGGGCGGGGGCACCTCTTCCTGCCGAGGGCCATGTGGAGATCAGCAACATCATTATCAGGCCCCACAAACTCATCCGCTGAAGTCAGCCCGTCGTTTGGTCAGACGTGTCATCAACTCGCCCGTGCGGCCTTGGCAGGCCCAGACCAGAGGATCTCACAGGCCCTGCCCAGCCCCCGGCTGGACGTCCCCCCCTGCTCCAGGCAGTCAGTCTGGGCTGAGCAAGAAGCCCCACTGCTTAGACACGAGGGACCATCCCTTTCCCGACTCCGGCTCCCGGCAGAGGAGAGAGACAGTTTCTTCATCCCTCTACGCCCCTGGTTCCACACCCTTCTCCAGCGTGCACACGCACACACTAACAGAGGACTCTCTTGTTCTCCTGACACGTAGCGCCACCTGCCCGCCACCCAGAGACGTCCTGTCTGCTGTGCCGTGAGCTCGCTCAGGTTCCTTCCAAGTCCCCAGCTCCAGGCAGACGGGCGTGTATTTACGGACAAACCTAACTTCCGCGTGCACGGGCCCCGCTCCGGGCTGGGGTGTGGGCTGCACAGGTGGGAGGAGGGGTACGAGGCCCAGTGCTGCTCCCTACACAGCACTGAAGGGCCAGGCCTCCTCCCCGGTTCCAGACCACGTTCCCGAGTTACCTTTCTTGCCCCCACCAGCCGCCTGCAGCGCCAGAGCCACCAAGGAGGGCCGGACGAAGACGTTGAGCAGCTGGTTCCTGTAGGCCGAGCACGTGAGGAGCGTGATGTGCTGGTAGATGAGGCCGTCCACCACCTCCGAGTCCCTGGAGTCCACTTTCAGAACCACGCGGTCCCTGTCGAGGCTGGCGATGTTGGAGTGCAGGAGGAGGCTGGACTGGATCACCTCGTCAGCGGGTTCATTGTCTACACACAGGACAGTTGGTTCATGCCAACGGCAAGACGCGGGCGGGGTCCCTGCTGGGAGCCTCAGGCCTGCAACGCAGCAGTGCTGGGGACCTGGCTGGGGATTCAAAGGCCAGGTGCTGGCGTGAGGTTCTAGCAGCTGAGCAATGACCCCCTACATACCCGGCCACATGAGGAAGCCCCCGAAGGCCAGGGTTAAGCCCTTCAGCCACAGCGTCTTCTCCATCAGGGCGTCGAAGTCCATGGCCGGCCGGTGCTGCAGCAGGACGGTGGCCACCAGGACCCACGGGCTCAGCACCAGGTTCTGGATCTGCAGGAGCTGCATCCTGTAGGCGACCTCAGTGACAAAGGCTTGCGTGTCCTCTGACTGCTTCTGAGGGATGTACCTACAAGGCAGAGACAGAAGCAGTTACAGACAGAAACTCACCCCGATTCGTGACACACAATCCTTTCTGGGCTCCACCATCACACTCAGCACACCCTGTGCGGGCCCACCGGGTCCATCCATTCGCTGGCTGGCACCCCTGTAGCTCCCCCCACTTTTAAGTTAGTCGGGTGCTGGCTCCCCTGAGAAGAGCGAACAGTCTGCCTGCGTATTTGACATATACACCCTACAGCTAATCGTTTCTGCCAAGCATATAATTCTTCTTTAATTGAGGCTTTCCACTTCCCCGATGTGTGACCTCAAATAACCACATTCCAGTCCTAGAACTAGTCGAGAATCACAATTCAGCCCGGCCGGTGTGGCTCAGCGGCTGAATGTTGGCCCAGGAACCAAGAGGTCGCCGGTTCAATTCCCTGTCAGGGCACATGCCCAGGTTGCGGGCTCCATCCTCAGGAGGGGGCATGCAGGAGGCAGCCGATCCATGATGTTCCTCTCTTAGTGGCATTTCTCTCTCTCTATCCTTCTCCCTTCCTCTCTCTCTAAAAAATCAATACAAAGATATTTTTTTAAAAAGTCACAATTCACACTTCCAGCTTTTCATCCCTGTTTCTAACTCGGTTATGAAAACACCAGTCTTGCACCTTGGGACCAGGTTATACGGGCTTCGGCTCAACCTCCCAGCTGCCAGAGATCGAAGCGACACGGGGTCTCCGAAGTATACGTGGATGCTGCCAAAGTTTTCCGAGAGAATCCTCCTGGCTTTCAGCAATCCCTAACAGCATCGCAACAGGGGGAAGAAAAGAAAAGAAGCAAATGAGGAAATGGGTTGAGCTGTAAATGAGCATTTCCCCTAACTCCCAATAAACGCAGGCGTGGCCATCCTTTACATACGGTCGTAGATTCCTTTGGCTTGGGCACCCCTAAAAGCTCATACACATAAAGGGTTTCTTCCAGTATCTTATCGTAACTGATGCTAATCGGAACAAGGTAGGTGTCAAAAACTTCTCTTTTGAAAAAAGGTTCCATCACAATATTCAGAAGACCTGCAAACAAAGGGAGAAATGGCTTTCATGTATATCCCAGAGGGTGCAAACACGGCACATACACAGGAAGACACCAAGTGTACAGGACACACTAAGCCCGTAAATACAAGCAGTTACGCTTAAAGAGTTCCGCTCATAAAGAAAACCGTATCTTGCAAAAAAAGCGCCAAGGCCCGGCCGGCGTGGCTCAGTGGCTGAGCATCGACCTATGAACCAGGTCACGGTTCAATTCCTGGTCAGGGCCCATGCCCGGGTTGTGGGCTCGATCTCCAGTGTGGGGCGTGCAGGAGGCAGCCGATCCATGATTCTCTCTCATCCTTGATGTTTTTCTCTCTCTCTCTCTCTCTCTTCCTCTCTAAAATAAACAAAACAATTTTTAAAAAGTGTCAAGTTCTACTTCGCAGCTGCACTGACACCCCCCCACCGCCCCCCACCCCCGCCTCTGGGTGTGTCTTCCTCCTCCGCCTGCGAGGGACCTACCAAATTTAGGAGTCAGAGTCTTGGCGGAGCGGCTTCTTGTCCCTTCGAGGAAAAATTCAACAGGAGCATAACCATTCTTTAAAGAGAAAACACAAACAAACAAAACAAGACACAAAGCCCATTGCCTACGCTCAAAGGATCAAGGCTTCTTTGCTCCCTCCCCAGCTCCCGCCCCGGCCCCTGCACACACTGCTCACAGCGAAGCTCCGACACAGCCACGGGGAGCAGCCAGGCTGCCGAGCTCCGCGCGCTCCTCCGGGAGGAACACGGCTCAGCGGCCCATTCGGGCGTCAGGGACTTAAATGAGGGCTCGCAGGGAAGTTCAGCGAGAAGGAAACAGCTGGAGCACCTGGTGATTGTCTGCATTTACCCGTAACATGGTTTTGACGTATTCGGAGAACACGGCCCAGTAGAGTCTGTTGCCGCCGAAGGTGCGCCGCATGAAGAAGGCGCCCGACATGCGCAGCAGCTCCCCGATCATCTTCATCCCCAGGAAGTCTAGAGGGGGAAGGACCAGCAGTGACTGCAGAGCCTGGGCGGTCCATAAAGACCTAACTCGTGCTCTGCTAAGGAGGATCTCGTGGATGTAAGACACTCCGGTGACCTTCAGGATTGTAGCTTCTGAGGTCAAAGTCCCCAAGAAGAGACATCTCATGGAATGATGGGAAGGAGGGGCTGCGTGGCAGGTGCCTGCTGGGAGGGAACCTTGCACCCTCCATGCACCTCGGGGTTCACAATCAGACTAGCTGGAGCGGGGGAGGGGTGGGGGGGACGTTTTTCCTGCCAAGGGCCATGTGGATATTTATAACATCTTTCGCAGGCCATACACAATTATCCACTTAAACAGCCTGCTGCCCGGCCGGCGTGGCTCAGTGGTTGAGCGTCGACCTATGAACCAGGAGGTCACAGTTCAATTTCTGGTCAGGGCACATGCCTGGGTTGTGGGCTCGATTCCCAGTGTGAGGCCGATCAATGATTCTCTCTCATCATTGACGTTTCTCTCTCTCTCTCCCTTCCTCTCTGAAATCAATAAAATAATATATTTTTAAAAATTAGCTTGCTATATTTGGTCAAACATTTAATTACCTCCCCATGATGCATTGGCAGGGCCAGACCAAATGATTTCTCGGGCCTTACACAGCCCACGAGCCGGATGTCCCCCACCCCTGAGCTAGAGGCAGAGGGAACGGCAGGCCATGTGCCAACCGCAGCAACGTCATCAGGCCGACTTCTTCAGTCAGCACCGCTGCTGACCTTGACAGGCCAGCATGTGTCCACAGGCCCTGGACAGCCAGGCCAACAAGCTCCCCCTCCCCAGTGGACCATCCGGCAAAACACCCACCGTCTTTAATAAAAAAGCCGGGCTAAGGGGAGGAGTTCTAGCATCAGTTCACAGGAGCCCTTTTCATTTTCCCTGATTTTCAAATAACTTCCTCACATGTCCATAGACGAAAATGCGTTTAAAGTGCTTAAGTCCCAGCCGTATTTCACCCCACTGTTTACTGCCTTTATTACCAGCCGTATATGTTTAAACCCCAGCTTCCCTGGCTACCCTAGAGAGGGTAAACACATAACTTATTTGCCTTAGCAATGCTACTTTTGGGACCCCATCCTCCAGGAATGGAAGCACTAGTATAAAAATCTGTGGTTGCGATCATTCCAGCGCACGGTTTAATCTTTACAAGCGAAGAAAGGAGAGAAGTGCACGCACCCATCCCCGCCGCGATGACCGGGACCGGCAGGTCGTAGTTGTACAGAAGGAAAGACAACATCAGGAAGTCGATGTAGCTTCGGTGGCTGGGCAGCAGGACAACCGGGTGCTCCTGGATGGCTCGCTGTAGCTTTAAAATACATAAAGGAGACGCTTTGAATCATTTCAGTGTTCACGTTATTAAAGTCACACCTCACGGCAGAACACGGGAGGATGTGCACACGGATGGAGGGGAGACTGATACTGCGTCTGCCTCCCCTCCCACACACACGACACGTGTTTGAGTTCTAGGTAACCTCACCCAATGCAAGGATATGGGGAAGGTAAATTTTGATGGATCATAACAATAACACTGATGGTCACTCACTTATATTAGGTGGGCACCGTATTAAGCATTGTACGTAGTAAGCATGTTACGCACATTGTTTAATGCCAGGTATTTGTGAAGAGCCTTAGCTTCCTTGTGTGTGGCATGGCCACGCATTTAATAAATGGCAGATCTGGGAACAGAAATGAGGTCAGTCGGAATGAGAAAGTCAGCTGTGCCCGGCTGGCGTGGCTTAGTGGTTAGAGCACCGAGGTCACGAGTTCAATTCCCGGCCCAGGGCACATGCCTGGGTTGCAGGTTCAATCCCAGGCCCGGTCGGGGCTCGTGTGGGAGGCAACCAATCGATGTGTCTCTCTCACATTGATGTCTCTCTCTCTCTCTCTCCCTTTCACTCTCTCTAAAAGGCCATGGAAAAATACCCTCGGGTGAGGATTTAAAAGAAGTCAGCTGTGCGCTCTGCTCCAAACTGGTGTCCACAGCGAGAGAACGTGCTTCTCTCGGGAGATTAAAAACAAAACCTACAAATTTTTAGGACACGGGAAAGGAACAATACTGCCAGGGGCAGTGGGTGCCATGGAGCTGGGAGGCATGCAGGGGAGCTCCCAGATGTACCCCTGAGGCTGTCAACCTCACCCGTGTTCACTGGTATCGATGTGTTGTCTGTTTCTCTGAATCCTAAGCAGGACCGACTGAGGGAAGGAGATTTGTGATCAGGGAGGGCATGGCCAGCCAGCTGCCCTGGCCCCAGGCACAGAGCCAGCCGTTCTTGGGCAGAGACCTGGCAGTGAGTGAGCGATCTGAAGTCACAGGAGGAAACACTTGAGTAAAGAGAATCTTCAGAGGCAGCCAATGGATGCTTCTCTCATCAATGTTCCTCTCTCCTTCTCTCTCTCTCAAACCAATAAAAACATATTTAAAAAACAAATTAAAAAATATAATCTTTATAGGAAAGTGTTTCCTTACAGGAAAAAGCAAACTATTAAGTAACAGAAGTGACAGAATTAGAAAACTCACCATCTGGCAATCATCACACACCACCGTGAGGAGAGCCGAGCCCTGTGCCTGGGGACGCCTACCGGCCAGGCCTGCCCACTGAGTGCAGGTGAGAAGCCGAGGAGCTGCCCAAACAGGGAGGGGCGAAGGAGAGGGGGCTGTTTCAACCAGAAATACTCACTTTCTGAATACCTTCTTCATTGACACACACTTTGGAGTAAATCTGTTTAAATATTTTGCTCAGGGCAAAGGCAAAAAACCGGATGGCTCCCAGACGCAGCTTGTGGCTCATTTCATCCAAGATCTGGCACGCTTCCTCGCGGAGGGCATCCTGGGACTGGACGGACTCCTTGGAGAGCTGGAGGGGAGAGAAGCGCGGAAGCGTTTCTGGAAAAAGGATCCACAGCTCTTTCATTCAAACCAGGTCCACACGGCTGATACTGAGAACTCAAAATTAATACATTTCTCCTTCATGTAGGTGGACGTTGTATATTTTCCAACGAAACACAAGTGGATGAATGATCCTCTTTAGACAACTTCAAAGACTAGGAACTCACAGGGAATCGGCTTTCCAGGATGGCATGTGAGACAGGAGACCAGCCCCCTCTCTATCACATGTGTTACCAGCTTCCACCAGGAGCCACGGCCCTAAACACACAGCATGGCGCCTTTCAGTGACTGCTCGATGCCATGACCAGGTCATGACCAAGGCAGAGACAAGCCTACACTGAAGCCCCATTCGCACCACCTCAGCTACACGGGACCTGCTACAAATCCCCGGACTATCAGAGACGATCAGTGAGCTCCACGCGCTCACAAGGAAACGCCTTCACTCCCACCGCAGAGCAATCTCCTGATAAGGGAACAAAATGCTGGCTGTGTGCGAGCCCTGGCCAGGGCCTGGAGACGAGCGAGTCCGTTTCTGTCCTCAGGGAAGCCAAACTGAATCCTTCGAACCGCCCCCAAACAGGCACTTTGAAAAGGAGGAAAGTCTGTGTGTTAGCTGATGGTTACCCAGTCAGGGCACAGGCCCAGGTTGCGGGCTCCATCCCCAGTGTGGGGTGTGCAGGAGGCAGCCGATCAATGATTCTCTCATCATTGATGTTTCCATCTCTCTTTCCCTCTCCCTTTCTCTCTGAAATCAATAAAGTAATGAAAAGAAGAAGAAAAAGAGGGAAGAAGAGAGAGGAAAAATGCTCTTCCAAGTTGGAAAGCCTGCAACTTGTTTTTTTTTTAACAATCATCCCATTTTTTAAAATTATGATACAAATATACATAATATAAAATTTTCCATTGCAATCACTTTCAAGTGTACAGTTCAGTGGCCCTGGACCTGTCTATAGACTGGTGCTCATGCCCCATCAGACTGCACACTGAAGAGGCAGGAACCCTGCTCCGGTCGCTCACTGCCAGACCCCGTGTCTAGGACAGAGGCTCACACACGTTCTGGCTATGGTATACATTTGATGAATGTGCTGAATGTAGCTAAACCTAAAAAGATACAATAAGCCCAGCCCAGCCAGCGTGGCTCAGTGGTTGAGTGTGGCCCTAGGAACCAGGAGGTTGTGGTTAGATTCCAGGTCAGGGCACGTGCCCAGGTGCGGGCTCCATCCCCAGTCGGGGGCGTGCAGGAGGCAGCTGATCCGTGATTCTCTCTCATCACTGATGTTTCTCTCTCTCTCCCTCTCCCTTCCTCTCTGAAATCGATAAAAATATATTTTTTAAAAAGATACATTAAAGATAGCCAAATAAATTCATAGCATCAAGAAGAGAAAGAACTTGCTGACCAGGAACAAACCGGGCTGCGTTGAAGAGGACTCACTTACCTGCTTAATGACATAGTAAACCTCTTCGGAGTTGAGAACACTAGACTTAATATCGTTTGGCGTGCACGGAATGAGCCCCTTATACAGGAGGGGGGTGTAGCACTTCATGGCAAACTTCAGGTCACTGACATGCCTCCTTTCCTCTAACATATCTTCAAAGTCATCCCACTTTTTGAGCTCCTTCTGTGGACAAGGTAAAGGAAAGAAAGTCAGGTACATCCTGTATAATAAGTCAGGACAGATTAGGGACTGTAATTGTAAAGCTTTATTTCTGCCCAATTTGTATGCTGTGACATGTGACAAGAGCAGAGTGACCGAGTGTTAGATTTTCATATTCCAAGAAAAAATGTAAATAGGATCAATAAATTGATATTGAATTATCATGTTTTATTTTATCTTTTAAATGTTTTTTTTTAATTGATTTTAGAGAGAATGGAGGGGGATAGAGAGAGAGAAACAAAGATATCAGAGAGAAACATCCATCGGCTGCCTCCTGCATGCTCCCCGCTGGGGATCGAGCCTACAACCCGGGCATGAGCCCTGATGGGGATCCAACTGTGACCTCCTGGTTCATAGGTTGACACTCCACTGAGCCACGCTGGCCGGGCTATTTTTTAACAGGATTTATTTCATTGTAAATATATAACTTAATCTTTAATATTTTTTGAATCCTCACCCGAGGATATGTTTATTGATTTTTATAGAGAGAGTAAGCAGAAGGGGGTGGGGGGGGTGGGAGTGGGGGAGAGACAAGCATCAATGGGTCGCCTCTCATACATGCCCGACGAAGGATGGAAGCTGCAAGCCAGGTACGTACCCTGATGGGAAGCAAGCCCGCAGCCTTTCGGTGCACGGGACGATGCTCCAGCTGACTACCCGGCCAGAGCTTACTCTTTAATTTTTAATAATGGCTGCGTTTTAACAATGGGCTTGCAAGCTTCATGAAAATTTAACGATCAGCTCTGACAGCGAGTACAAGACTACAGACTCCGGCTGCCAGCACTGGAAACGAAATCCTCTAAGGACAACGGGATAGAGTGACTAATGAAAAGGGGTGGGAGTGCTCTCGAGATTGAATGGCTGGGGAAGTCCTCTCTGGGGAGGAGAGCTTTGTGCTGGGACCTCAATAATAAAAGCAGCAGCGGCTGCCCGCCTGGTGATGTGGTGTCTTGTAGCACATTGTAAGGAGTTGAGATTTTTTCATTCAGAGTCTAACAGGAAGCCATAGTTTGGGTGACGGGTGCGCCAGCGATCCCCCACCCCCAACCTCCTTTGCATTCTGTGGTCTCACTGCAAGACTTCCCCAGGCCAGTGGCTTAGGATACAACCTACTTGTGATGGTTGCCAAGCCTACATGTTTAGACCAGCCCTTCCTCTTTGCTCGGCTCCCATATTTCTAACTCTATTCGGATGTCTCCCAAGCCCCTTGTGATGGATCTGGTCCATAACATAATAATCCACAAATTAAAAATCATTAACTTTGCCCCGGCTGGTTTGGCGCAGTGGACAGAGCGTCGGCCTGCGGACTGAAGGGTCCCAGGTTCAATTCCAGTCAAGGGCACATGCCTGGGTTGCGGGCTCCATCCTCAGTAGGGGGTGTGCAGGAGGCAGCTGATCGATGATTCTCTCTTATCATTGATGTTTCTCTCTCTCCCTTCCTCTCTGAAATCAATAAAAAATATATTTTTAAAAAATCATTAACTTTGCCTCCCCCATCTCAAACTGAACACAACCCCAATTACACCCTGACCAAACCTGCTCTGTCCGCATCTCCTATCTGCGAAAGGCATCTCATCCACCCAGTTGCCCAATCACAGAAACCAGGAGTCAACCTGAGTCTGCCTCCTCTTCCTTAGCCACCCCTTCAGCTGCCCTCCACACCCCACAGGCGGCCCACTGCCCTCTCCCCACACTCACTGTCACTGCCGGCTCGGGCTGTCTTCCCTTCTCTGTCCTGACCCATGTCCAGGATCCTGGCATCAAATTCCCTCCCCAGCCAGACTCTCTGTCTACAGTCTCCACTTCAGTGAAGAAGGAGAGGTTATTCATCTAGATAATCATGGCAGAAACCAAGCAGTTCTCTTAGACCTTCAACGTACTAATGTGATCCCCTTAAATGGTGCCCAGTAAAGTTCAGATTTTAGCCGTAAGGGTGGGTAAACACGACACATGAAATCCCTTTGGGAAATGTAGCCTGCCCCCTCTATTCTAGCCTTCCCTGACCCCTTGGTTCCCGACGTGTAGTGTTCTTACATGGATGCCTAGAGCAGGCTTCCTTTCCCTCATCTCCCTTCACATCTCAAAAACTCAGCGCAGGCGTCACCTTCTCTGGTCCCAGACAGGTCAGGGGCTCCTTCTCTCACTCCCACAAGGCATTGCGCATGTTTCCACCACTGCCCTTGTTCCACTTCATTGCAACTATTTGTTTACTTTCGTGACTTCCTTTGAAGTCCTGAAAGGCGAGGGCTAGCTCTTTAACTTCTGTGTCTTGAACACTGAGAAGAATGACTAAGGACTGTTTGTTGCAATCAGCGATATCTCAAGTATCTCGAATACCACTCTCAGATGAGATAGCACATTGCACAAGCACAGGACAGGCCTGAAATAGTAATAGTAAGGAAAAGCTCAGGACACCATGAGAGGAAAACTATGTAATCACAAGACATGTGCAGCGTCCGTCCGAGGAGAAAGCTCATATACAACTGCCTAGTCGTTCACATGAAAAGTTGAGAAAAGTCTTATCAGTAAAGAACCATTGGTGAATGGGGAAGTAAAGGACCAACTCTCTCCTGTAATATAGGAAACTAGAGGCCCAGTGCACAAATTTGTGCACCGGTTGGGTCCAATGGGGTGGAGGGGCCGATCAAGGGCAGGGCCAGCTGGGGGTAGGGGCTGCGGGCAGTTGGCCGGCTGAACACCCGGTTGAACTCCTGGTCGAGGGGACAATTTGCATATTAGGCTTTTATTATATAGGAGGATTGTACTCAAGTCACAAGCCAGTTAGGACTGAAAAAGGGACCTACGCCTGTCAGAGCCACACCGCAACCCTCTTTCTACATTCCTTAGGGACTCCCACAGGGGCAGCAGTTAGAGGTCAAATATTCCCACCACACACCCGTCGGGTGGGAAGGCCACGAGGAGGGCCGTTACAGTGACGAGCCTGGGAGAAGTGGACCGCTACCAGCAACGAAGAGCTCCTAGCTCCGCCACGAAATGGGCATTTCCTCTCGTTCCAAAGAATACTGATCTCTCAACCGGAAGGCAGCCACATACACATACACATACATACCCTCTTTTGAAGCTGTGGATTTTTGTTTGTTTGTTTGTTTATCTTGCTTTTTTCTGTTTTCCCTGTTTGACCTCAAACAAATTAACATTATGACACTAACTGCTAGGACAAGCATGGTGGCAAACCTTTTAAATGCCCTCTTTTATTTCCTCCTAAAGTAGATAAAAATTAATCTATTGTTTAAAAAAAATACAATCCGTTACGCCAGTATTATGCAACCCCGAGCGCTACAGAGCTCTCGTGACAATGGTGAGTGACCAGTAAATGTTTTGTTGGCATAAAAAGACCTGTTAAAATCAGGAGACAGAGAGAGGCGGTCGGGGGAGAAGAGGCAAGGTGGAGAGAGGCTGGGTGGCAAAGGGACTTGTGGAAAAAGTACAATGACAAAAACAGGCAATTAAAACCACCAGAAGTTCCAAATCTCCCTAGATTTGTTCTAATCAACAGAAGGAATTGAGCGACAAAATAAGACCCGAAGCAGGGAAGACATGGGACCAACTGACATACCTCGATGTGGGGTTGGGGGGACGAGAAGAGATAAACCAGAGAACTTTATATACTTATGGGCACAGCCCATGGATCCCGGCAAGAAATAGGGTGGTGAAGACCTGGGGGTGGGGGGGTGGGGGTGGGGGAGGCTGGGAGGAGAGGAGGAATGAAGGGGGAAATGGGAGATATCTGTAATACTAGCAACAATAAAAAATATATTAAAGCCCAGCTGGCCTGGCCCAGTCGACCTATGAACCAGGAGGTCAGGGTTCGATTCTCAGTCGGGGCAGATGCCCAGGTTGCGGGCTCCATCCCCAGCATGGGGTGTGCAGGAGGCAGCCGATCCATGTTTCTCTCTCCCTCTCCCTTCCTCTCTGAAATCAATAAAAATGTAAACACATACACACACACACACACACACACACACACACACACACGTGTGCCTGTATTTTTTTTTTTTTAAAGACTTAAATCGTAAAAACTCTCTGCCCACTGATGAGCCCAACACGCTCCGGCCGGGAGCGCAGGCCGAGCAGAAGGGCGGGGTGGGGGCCCGGGGCCTGCGGTTCAGGCTGGGTGGGCCCGCAGCTTCCTCGGTTTCGCCCAAAAGGGGGGCCGGGGGGGGCTTGGGGAAAGCCCCCCCCCCACGCCCTCCTGCTTTGGGCCAGGGGGGGGGCTTTTCGGGCGGGCCCCCCCCCCCGGGGGAGGGAAAAAGGGAAAGGCGCGAGAAGAAAAGGGGCCCGGGGGAAACC